CCAGGGAGACCCCTGAAGAACCACCTAGGCCCAGGAGAGACCTTTAAAGACCCAGAAGGGCCTGAGTCTGAGCACGACGGAGCCACTAGTCCTTGGACATTAGCTTTGGGCTGGAGTTAGGAAGAGGCTGTTGTATGTCCTGAGGCCTCAGATTCACCCAGCCAAGGTAGGAATGGGGTGCAGAAGCCGGAATGCCTTTGGCAGCAACAGCACTGGGAAAGCCAATACAACAGTGACCTCCTTCCCGCCACCCCCTGCCCCCACCCAGAGGCCCTTCTTGGAGTAAAGGATCAGGGAAGGAACTAAATTTCACTTCTCTCTCTCTTGCTTCCCCTAGGAGCTAACTTTTTTTTTCCCTGAGGGAAGGCTTGAATGTTGTGAGTCTCCTTTTATCCTCACAGGCCATTTAGATATTTTCCCAATATATGCCCCCAAACAGACAGGAGCCACTGTATCTTTAGTCCTGTTCTCACTTCGTCTTTATTTGATATGACAAAATATAGTTTCAGGAAGAACCCAGAGTCAATAAATAGTTGGACAACAGCAACAGGGCAGGAGGGCACAGAAAGTCATGGCAGGGACTATGGGACAGCAAGGAGCCTCTAGGACAACTTGCTGGGGTCCAGTGGCAGGAAACGCCAATACTTGAGCGAACTAGCAGGCTGTGGCTGCGGGCCTGAGAGGGCATGCAGCGGGCAAGGGCTGGGGAGGTTCCCGGGTTTTGGGGGGTGGGGTGTGTTAGAGAGTATAGAGAAATCGATGGGCCCTTAGGCGGAGATTCAGTCTTTTTCCTCTTTCATATGCAAATCGTTAATAAGTGAAAATCGAGTTTAGTCGCTATAAGGAGGCACCCCAATCTGGAGACGGACTCCAACAACCACAATCACTCTCTCCCCAGTCTGCCGCTGCTTGAATCGCCTAGCCAGAAACAAAGGAGAGGGCGAGGCTGGAGAGTGGGGGCCAGGGGTCTGTGGTGCCCGCTGGGGCTCAGCTTAACTTGGGCGGTCCAAGCTGAGGCTGGGAGCTGGAGAGGTAACCTCAGGCCGAGGTTCGTTCAGCACCAGCCTCTATGCCGCAGCCCTTGGGGGAAGCCCTGTGCAGCTTGCCCTGGGCCCCGGGTTCTGAGATGAGGAGAGACAGGGCAGAGCAGGCAGCCCCGCGGGAACCCTGGGTCAGTGGGGATTCGGAATGCCAAGGGAAAGGCTTTTGTCTGTGAGCCCGGGAGCGAGGGCTCCAGCACCTATTCTCTCGCCCCAAAACAGAGAGAGAGGAAACCCGAAAAGGAAAGGCGCTGGGACCAAAGCCCGCTCGGAGTGTTGTCTGCGGGCCTCCCCGCGGCCTCTAAAGAGCCTCTTTGCTTTTCATTTTGGAATCCTTCTTCCACTTCATCCTGCGGTTCTGGAACCAGATCTTGATCTGTCTCTCATTGAGACACAGGTTGTTGGCGATCTCTATGCGCCTGCGGCGAGTGAGGTAGCGGTTAAAGTGAAATTCTTTCTCGAGTTCCAGAGTCTGGTAGCGCGTGTAACTGGTTCGGGACCGCTTGCCATCCGTTTCTGGAACATAACCCCCCGCCCAAGCCAGGAAGGGGTGAATAGCGTGCAGTGCCCAGTGCCCACCTCCCCCCCAGCCCCAGGCCCCCGCCCGCGGCGGGAGGGAGAGGAGGCAAAAGAGGCGAGACAGGCCGGGCGGGCCGCAGGCGGACCAGTCCAGCCCAGCCCAGCCCGGTGAGAGGCGCCTCCGCCCTGGCAGGAAACTTTCCACCGCAGGCTTCACTCAGCAACCGGAGGGGCTGAAGGGGGTGGGGGGAAGAGGGAGACCCAGGCTCGGACCGAACAATAAGCACCCTCGAGATCCGAGCACCGGGGACCCCTCTCCCACCCCTCCCGAGTCGCTGAAATCCTCCGGAGCTGCGAGCGGCGAGCGACGGCCGAGCCGGCTCCGCAGGGGAGGGAGGGAGGGAGCCGCGGGGGGATCCCCGCTCTGGAGCCCCGCGCTCCTCACTCTACAGATCCCTCTATTTTTTTAACTCCCTCCCTCTCCCCCAAAAATTGAATATTGCCTTTTATACACGTTTTGTTCCTATGATCCAATTATGTCGTCGTAAATTTGGGCGCACACAGCCTCTAAGCCTTTTAGTGGACAGTTTTACGAGCCATTGATGCCTGGATCGTAAAATTTATGGCCGCAGGTTTTTTTTCTTTATTTGCCCCGCATGGCCTATAAAACCCAGGCGGACCCGAGCGCGCAAAATGAAGTCCTAAAGTTTACCGTGGCTCATGTGCAGTTTGGTCATCCACGGGTAAATCTGTGGCGGGGCCGGTGGCTGGCTCAGTCCGGCGGGCTGCCCTGTCTGCGCCTGCTCCTCTTTGATCTCCCCACTGCTCTTAGCTCGCTCCTCCAGCGCCGGGCGAGCCGCCTTCTGATTGTACATCCCAGGGTTCAGAGGAGCCGCTTCGTCTCTCCCCAGAGCGTGTCCCGTAGCAGCCGCGGCGCTGCAGGCAGGGCGGTCGGGGTGAGCCCGGGGGTTGGCAGCCATGTCTACCCCGTGGAGAGAGTTGGAAGGCGCAGGCGGTGGGAAAGTGATGCTTAAGTCCAATCCGCCGTAGCAGTACCTGGATGCCTGCACCTCTGAGGCCGATCCATAGTTCCCACAAGTTTGCATGTTATAGGCAGGGATATTGGGGCTCTGCTTATAGAATGAATTGGCTACGTAGGAGCTCATGGCGGGGAGGGCCCAAAAAAATTTCTGCACCCTTTTTGATTAAGGGTGATTTGTGACTCTTTGAAGTTGAGGGTTTTTTGTTCTCCAAAGTGCACAATTTATAGGTGGAGATATCTCTTTCTTTATCCTATGCGCTCTTCCCAAATAAGGGAGCCTTAAATAGAGTCACGTGACTCCAGCGGCCACTCATAAATTTGGCTTGATGACCTCCGGGAGGTTAGTGATGGAAGCCGGCAAAACGCATCTTGATATGTTGGCAAAGCCCAACTAAGGGGGAGAGAGAAAGAGAGTGAAGGGGGAGAAAAAAATGGTTCTTGGAATTGGGGGGTAGCCGGGACAACGAGCTCACAGCGACACCTGGTGCCTACTTGGAGAAATTGCATCCTCGAGCTCTAACACGCCTTCAGGAGGCTGAATTTTCTTCCCTGTGGAGAAGCTGGTTGTTAACAGCAACAAACCCCTGAGCTAGCCTTTTAAATTCTATTTAAATTTGAGAAAAGATGAGGCTCCACTTAGGATGCACATCGTGTTTTTATTTTGTAATGGATAATCCCATTCCCTCAATCTCAGTGGTCTTCTAATCTTCAAAAATGGCTGAGGAAAGGGATTTAGTTAAATTCTCCTGCCCAGGCTGGAGAACCAAGGAGGGTTATCTCAGATGACCAAAGATTGAGATCCCTTGCCTCAAAGGTTCCAAGACCCCGTGCTACTGCTAAGGGGTGCCTGTTAGCATGGGAAAGTGGACTCAGCCTCTGTAAAGAAAGACTGAGAAATGCCCAGGAGGAGACATCCCAGATGGGTGGAACTAGATAGGGGGTTATAGGGCTGAGCGCTAGGCACTCTCTGGGCTGGGCCTGGAGGTAAGGAGCCAGGTGAAGTTGGGTAGACCTCACCATCTCAGCTACCCAGAGTGTCAACAGGCAATTTTCAAATGCGTGTGTGTGTGTGTGTGTGTGTGTGTGTGTGAAGAACCACACACAATGGAGGGGGGGATGGCTGCCCTGCATTCCTGCATTCTTGTGTGTAGTCCTCATGTGGTACCTATGCTAGATACTTTAGATAGAAAATACATGTTAATTGAGTGCATGGAGAGGGAAGATTCAAGCCTTCACAAATATTATATGAGCAAGGCAGAGGAAAAGGCCTGTTTTTTGCCCTTTGGGGGAAAGGTGTCTGGACCAGGCTTTCCAGGGACCTGAATCCAGGTTAACAGGAAAGTAATTTTGGAGCAATTTGGAGGCATGCAGAGGACATGGCTGGGGACAGGGAGGGCAGGCATTTGGGCAAGTTTCACTGGGTCTCTACAGCCTTTATGCCCAGTCTCCTCCTCCTCTAGCCCCAAGTCTTACTCTTTCCTGCCTGTTTCTACCCAGGAAATCTCCGCCCCTACCAGAAGCCCCCCCTTGCTGGGGGGGGGCGCTGGCGGTGATCTGGAGGATCTGGAAAACTCTGGCAGATTTTTCCACCCTCTGGGAGACCCCACCACCACCACCTCTCCTCCTAGGCCCACTCAGGTTTCTCTGGCTGGGCTTGGGGAGAAATGGCCAGAGCTGATAAATGGTTAGGGTCTGGCTGCGCTCCTCACCCCCAGGGTTTGAGGAAAGAAGAGTAAGAAATCAGATGAGCTGGGGCTACAATGAAGAAGGAATTTTGTCCCGGCTATGTCTGGAGTCCTAGAGCAGGAGCAGGCTAGAGCTCAGTTTCCAGGCTTTCTCTTTCGAGATGTCCTTGAATCTTAGAATCGTACAATCCCTGCAGAAAGGCTCCAATCCCGCGCGGGCTTCTCTTTCCTCTGCGTTTTCAGCCTCCGCCGCCACGTTTCTCAGCAACCGGCCTGGCGCGGGCCTGGGGCTTGCTCACGCGGTCCCCCGCGCCCCCCGCCTCCAACTCTGGGGGGTGGGCGGAGGAGACCCTGGTGCCCGGATAGTGCTTCTTTTCTGCGCTTTTGGGGCTCTGAGTTCAGAAGCTGAGGGCCCCAGGGTACCACAAGCAGAAAGAAAGGCCTGCTCGGGTACCCAATCCGACTAATCCCCACTCCCAATCCTATGCAGCCGTCCTTTGCAGGGTGTGCGTTGCTCGGCTTAGGGAGCCCAGAGAGGCCTCCCAGCCCCCCAGCGCGATCACAAGAAGCATAAGGCCAGGGCTCAGCGCCTGGCCCCCGGGGAAGGCGAGTGCAGAGGGCTTGCAGGCGGCGGCTAGATGCGAGAGAGCTTGGAGCCTGCTCCAACTTTCACCCTAGGGCCGGCGAGCGAGCGAATTAACAGAAATCTCGATATAAACTTTTAAAAATAATATCAGTTTTATTAAATATTCGAGGACGGATCGAGAGATCGGATTTATACAGAAGGGTAACACGAGGGGATTTATTTATTTATTTATTTTCTCCTACTGGCTAAACAAACGTCATTCACTTTTTTTCTCTTTTTGTAATTTTCCCTCTTTTTTTTTCCTTTTGAAAATGGGATAGGAACATTGATGGGTGCTAAACATAAATATAAATACAGAAACCACGAATACAGCTAAAAATATTCACACAGAAACAGTCACAGTTTGTAAAATGCCATATTGACCCCCAGGATTCTTTAAATACAATTAGCCAGGGCTGGGCATTTGCTGGGGTAGAGGGGCCGGGAAGAAACTGTGGGGAAGCTCTGGGGGTTAGTGGGAGCCAAGGCGCACCCTCCTTGGGCCTCCTGCCCTCCCTGGCTGCCAGGCCGGGCCCTGAGGCCCCGGAGCAGAGGCCCCAGGGCCCGGGAGCCTGCTCTCTGCGCTGGGGCCGGAGCGGGGGCCTCAAGGGAGTGGGGGGGGGGCATGTCCTCATTTGGAGGGAAATTTGTGGAGTCTGAGTTCTGGGACTGAGCCCCCAAGGCCTGGGTGGGGGAAGGAGCCTGCAGACTATGCGAGAAAGAGCTATCCAGGGAGCAGGGTGAAAGAGTTGTGCCGCGAGGGAGGGGGTCCAGAACTGACTTTCAGGTCCACACTTGACTCCCTAATTTTGTTTTAGGAAGTCAAAACACATCAATTGTGCCAGTGATAAATAGAGTGTGTGATTAGAGGAGAGTTTGGGGGAGCGAGGGAGAAGGGAGAGAGGGGAGGCAGGGATAGTCCTGGTCACTCTTTCTGCTTCTCCTCTTCTGTCTCTTCCCGCTTTTCCTCTTTTCCGCCCAGGCTGTCAGCATTGGCCCCTCCGCCGCCCCCCGAGAGCGTGGACGTGAGATTAGATTCTTTTTTCCACTTCATGCGGCGGTTCTGGAACCAGATTTTGATCTGTCGCTCGGTCAGGCAGAGCGCGTTGGCGATCTCGATGCGCCGGCGCCGCGTTAGGTAGCGGTTGAAGTGAAATTCCTTCTCCAGTTCCAGGGTCTGGTATCGCGAGTAGATCTGGCGGCCGCGCCTCCGGTCCGCTCCGTAGCCGACCCCTAGAGATCCGGGCACAAAACACACTAAAAACAATCAGCAAGGCGTCCTCCGCAGATGATTTCGCCTAGCAAGGTCCTGACTCTCCCAACTTGGTCAGAGCTCACAGCCCCCTCCGGGCTCCAGTCTTCTCCCTTTTGCCCTGCCCCACCCCCACTGGGGGTACAGCCAGACCCCAACTTCATTTAGACCTCCCCTAGGGTGGGAGGTGTATGTCCCCAAGGAAAGACGTTTGGGGGGGCGGGGCAAAAACCAGACCAGAAAGCTGCAGGTCTAAAAGCTGATTTTTGAAAAATCCCAAATCCTGGAGATGAGGGCCCCATTTCTCAAGGACTGGGCTACCCCCATCTCCCCAAGCACCCTACCTCCTTGGAAACTTATCCCCACTTCTCTGCTCTCCCATCTTCCCCTTCCTTCTTCTCAGCCTGACTCGACTTTGGGGGGCTCCCTCATCCTCTGCTCCCTCCCCTTATCCCCTGCCCTGTTCCTGCCCCCTCAGGTCGCCTTGGAGCCCTCCAATCCGTCAGGGGCCAAGGGGGCCAGGGCCCTGTGAGCAAGCAGGAGGCGAGCTGAAGGGGCAGAAGAGGGGGCCCTGTCTCGGCGAGGAGACGAGCGTGATTGTTTTTATGGGGCCATAAAAAACTCTCTCCGCCCGTTCTTCTAGGGAAGCCGGTCATAAAGCCAGTTCAGTTTATTTAATTTATATCTCGGAGCTGTAAAACTCACCACTGTGCGAATTCATTCGCTGCATCCAGGGGTAAATCTGGATACTGGCTTTCTGGTCCTGGGGCGCAGTCCTGCCCTGCTCAGAACTAAAATCCTGAGCGATTGAGGTCTGTGTGTTATGTCCTAAGGTGTTTTGTCTGCAGTTTGAGAGCATGTCTTTCTCCTGGTAAAAGGAATTAGATCCATAGTCATACGGCCCCCGGCTGGAACTGAACACGACATTCTCTTGTGGCGAATAAAAGGGAGTCGAGTAGATCCGGTTCTGGGCAACGGCTGCTCCATAGGTCGAGAAATGCCTCACTGGATCATAGGCGGTGGAATTGAGGGCGACGTTGGGGAGGACGTCCTGGCCCCCGGCGAGGTGGCAGGATAAGGAAGGGTTAGTGAAGTAGGAATTCATCCCTTTGCCTTTACCTGGTCGGGCTATGATTTCTTTAATATTTATTTCTGTCTCCAGTTTGTACTCGGAACTAGATGGTTATAGGGACGGCTCCAATCCAGGACAGACAAAATGACAAAGTCAGCTGACCCCCTTCCAGCCAATCGTAAGCCAGATGTCAAGAAGGGGGAAAAAAATCGCTTCTGCTTCTGTTGATTCCCTAGTTGAGACTAAGTGTGTGCTTTGAAAGTAAGACTTGGATTTCTTTAAAATATATATGCATATGTACATGTAAGAGAACTGGTCTGGGGGTGAAGGAGGGGTGCACATCCCAGAGTAGGGCCTTGGGGCCCAGAGAAGGAGAGCTGCACTCCCAGGAAATCTCTCAGCCCCAGCTAACTTTGCTGTACTGTGGCCAGAGCCAGGGCTGAAGAAATCCCTGCATTTTCAATCTGATTTCATCTTTTATATCTGCTTCCTTTCTAAAGTTACGATCATATTTCTTCATGGGATGAGCTCCTTCCCAGCTCACCCAGGTCCCCAGAAACCTATAGGAAACCTTGATTTGACATTCCATGGAGTAAGTCCCCATCACTAAACAGGTATTTTCCCCAATAATTAAAAAAATCAGAAGTAGAGTGAAATTTCATAAAACATTGTGCCCAGAGGAAGGAGAACGTGGCTGAGAATCTTGGGTATAGGAGGGATGTGGGGAGCAACTATGTCTAAAGGATCAAGGGTGAGAATTCGGGGTACACTGGCAGAGCTGAAGTGGGCAAAGGGGACATGCATTTGCTTTCCTTTGCCTCCTTGTCCCCTCTGCCTCCCCCTCAAGAACCCCTTTTTGAGGCGACTCTTACAGCATTTTTGCCTAAAAGGGAAAATGCATTTAAAATGCAGAGAATAAGGAGAAAAAGAAGTTAGAGGTGAGAAAGAGAGAAGGGAAGAAAAGGAAGAAGAAAGAAAACTCTGTGAGTCTTTCTGGGGACATCAACTCCTGTTTATGTTGGTGAGAATTTATGATTTGGAGCCAGCAAGGGCCAGTGGGGTAATTCACATTGGATCCAGCCAGAAAGAGAAGGGTGGTGGGGCTCTGATAGACAGTTAGCTTCTTGCAGGCTCAAGCCCCTGCATAGGTCAGAGTCCCCTGTCCCCTCTAGACTCAAGGCCCCAATAGGGGAGGCGTCCCTGGACCTGAGCTCTGAGGCTTAGAGACTTCAGCAAAGGGCTCCTGGGGAGCTCTCCCCAAGTACCAGTCATCCCCAGTGGGGCCAGCCTCTCTGAAGCCTCTAACCCCATTTTTTTCCACCTTGGGGCTGAGAAAAAGGAAGAAGCGGTTAGGAAAAGGCAGCTGAATCGGAGACTTCTGAGGGAGCCGCAGTGGGCGAAATGAAACAGCAGGAAGGTGTGCAGATGGTTTTTTTCTCCTAATTATTCCAAACTTAATTCGATATTGTGACATAGGCTGAAAATGCTTTGAGTTGACAAAGAGGGGGTGGTGGAGAGTGGGCAGAGAGCAGTGAAAGCTCATATTTTCCTCTCACCATTTTGGGGGGGGGTGGGAAATGGCTATAACAAGAACCCGGATGTCGCCAGGATTTTATGATCTTTTCCTTCTGTGTAACAAAGCGGAGTAATCAATGGGTAGCAATAAAGCCATAAACGGGACTACGCTGGGAAAAAACTCGTTTATTCATCTTCTGTAACGTTAAGGTTTCCCTGGAGTGTCGCTAGGGGGGAAAAATAAAGTTTCGAACCCAAAAGCAGACAGTGTATAGAGACAACATGTTAGTTAATACATGAACCTCCTTAGGGGTTGAAGAGTCCTTTCTGCCAGACAATTTGTGTTGGCTTTTAAAAATACAGCCCCGATCCTTCAGAAAGGAGGAAAATTTGTTGGTATTTGGAAGGGTAGGGGAAAGACCCTATAATTGTAAAGCTTCCTCCTCTTGAACCACACTTTCTTCTCCCCAAGGAGATGAAGGAGAAAGGGTAGAGGAGGATTTTTAAATTAAGAAAGAAATTTGGAGATGAGTTATCTTATTTTGGGGTTACATGGCAGGTATAGAAACATAGACACCAACATGAGTTGCTTTTCATTTTAGAATCCAGCTGTCTTTGGGTTCATGGCATGCCTGGGCAGAGGTTTCCAACAGCTGGCTTGTGCTCCAAGCCCCCTGGAGGGCAAGAGGTAGGGGGGAGAGAGTACTAGCCAGGAGTTCCCTGGGGGCTGAGCTAGGGAACAAGTCAGTGCACCCCTGGACACTGTAGTTCTTTCAAAGTTCCCAGCCTCCTTCTGCCCTGAGGTTAGTGGTGTAACAAGTAGAAGAGGCCATAAGAGAGAGTAATCCCCCCCATTTCAGAGGGAGATTGCTAGAGGGATAAATCATGTCAGTGATATTTCCTTCAAGATATTAAATTGTTGCAATGTACAACAAATTGAACGATGGAAGATAGGATGTTTTAATAAGGTTTCGCTTTCAATGAGTGTGGATTTTCTATGTATTTTAAAATCTCTTTTATGTGAGTGGGGGAGGCAAGAAAGAAGGGGCTTTGGGGAAGCATGAGTTACAGACCCCCAGCAAGGATGCCTGGGTTTCCATGAGTCTCCCCTCACCAAGTCTGGAGAGGAAAGGGGCCCCAAATTAGGGAGATTCTTTTTTGGAGGCCTAAAGGCGGTGGGCTTAGTGGGGCGGGCGACCTAAAGAGCAGAATGTAAGTCTCAGGCCCGGAAAGTTAAGTGTTTTATTACGTCTCTAAACAGAGGGCAGAGACTGAAAGGTCTCGCCGATTTATAATGAACAGAAACCAGCTGCTGGGTGAAAAAAGCAGAAATCCTGGAAGGGGGAGAGAATGGGAAACAGAAATACAAATACATTCCCTCACTGCTTAAAGACTTTCAGCAAAATTAATTTCCAACACACTCTCCTCCATCACCTTCCATTCCTGAGGAAAGAAGCCTCCTTCTTTCAGTTAGATCTTTAATTATGCAGCTGAAATTTTGCTGGAAGGATTCGATCCAAGGGGGGAGAGCAGGTCAGATGAGCCCGATCTTCCTCCATTGGATTATATTTTCCTTTACCCGTTTCATGTTAATTTTATTTTTTGGCAAAAGAAGGACTATAGGGGGACTGGGACTTAGATTTCTCCAAATATATTTATATTTTCCTGTTAAATTTGTCTGAAAACAATTATGGAAACTCATCAGCAGAAGCAAGAACAGATGTTTTATTAAAACTGCAGTTGAGCTCTGTAAATATGCACAAGTCTTGGGAAGGAGGGGAGAGAACTTATTCTTTGTTTCTATAAAACAAGCCTAGAGAATTTAGAAAACACCCCCATCAGGCCCGCAGATCTCTTCGGCTGCTGCCCTGGCCCCCTGGCCTCCGCAACCTGGCATTTGGAGGAGACTTGGTGTCAAGAGCAGATTTTCTTCAATTTTGGAGCTTTAATAAGTAGATTCAAAACCAGATTTCAAAAAACACCAAAAAGGAATAAAGGGGGAAAGTTACCACTAGCTGTTCCACTTTCCCCCACTCCAAAACATGATTTTAGAGCATGCTAATTATAGGAAAGAAATTTACTACCTGTGCCTTGGACCCTGAGTGGGGTGCGGTAACTGGCCTGGAGCCCCCAAAGCTAAAGGTTGCATTGGAGGCTGGGCACTGGGGGTGTCCCAGGGCGAATTAAGCAGTTAACACCAGCCTTCTCTGCTCCAGGCCAGGGAAAGGCTGAGGGCCCGTGAGGCACTGAACTGAAGAGAGGGCAAGTCAGACTAGACCCCAGGCCCTGAAAAGGTTCGGTGAGCAGGCCTTACCTTGCTGGCCTTCACTTTCCATTCTGCTCTTGGAAATATATTAATGTGGGGGCAGGAGGGATATTTGAAGTCAGTGGGAGATCTGGCATTTTTATTTGGAGACAATCTTTTCCAGAGGTCCTGCTCAGTTGTGTTCTGCCGGTCTCCTCTTTTTCCCCAGATACTGCAAACTCTGCGTAGATGTTTGTGACTCATGCACCCTTGCACACAAAAAAACACACACTCCATTCCTGGCTGCCGCGCCGCCAACTACAGTTCGGCGCCTCCCGAGGCTGCTCAGGGACCCGAACACTGGAGCTGCAGGACTCAGCGCTCAGCGCTCGGCCTGGGCGCTTGGCTGCCTGGAAGACACTGCAGCTGCACGACCTTGCCCCCCCCACCTCCAATTCTCACTTCCCAGAGTGGGAGACGAGGTTGCCCCGCCAGCCCCTTTTGTGCCACTGGGCGAGGGCTAAAAATCCCTCTTACAGAGAAAGCCGAATTTCAATAATTGCTCAGTCACCTCACAATCGCACTATTTGGTTAAGGCTTTGCTGTTCTAGAGCAACTGCTCAGTTAGCCCAACTGACTTATGATTAGATTTTTTAATTTAAAAATTATAAAATAAATCCTCCAAATGCCTGTTTTTTTGTAGAAGCTCCTTTGATCTCCGTGGAACTCCTACTAAAAAAGATTGCAAGGACAGCTTTCTGGTCTGCCAGAGAACCTGAGCCTAGGGAACTGGGTCTGCTTGGGAACCAAAGCAAGGCTCACCTAAGCGGCTCCCAGATTCTCATAGATAGGGTGGGGAAGTTCTCTGAGCACCCCGTCCCCCCTACATATACAAACTGCATTCCAAAAAGGAAAATCCCTCCTCCTTTCACAGTTCAGACATGGAGAAACGTGAAATTTGACACACCCAACCCGGAAATGGATCCCATTTGGGGGTGCTGATATTCTGGGGACAAGGCCCAGGCTGGCCAGCTGAACAGATTGGGGATCAGCAGGAAGGGGGGAAGGGGTAAGAGGCCAGATGGGGCTTGTCAAGCTGCTAAGAACTGCCACAAACACTTCAGAGGCCTATGCTAGTGACTCCTCTTTTAAGCTAAGGAGAGGTTGAGAGGCTTCAGGAGCTGCTTTTGCTTTATTGCAATCAAACAGAAAAGAAAGG